GCACTGGTCTCATGGAGTCTCACCTCCACGATTACAGCATTACAGTCTGTGCCAGGGCACTGGTCTCATGGAGTCTCACCTCCAGGATTACTGTTGTAGCTTCCTCATCACTTGGTTTAGTTTCGAGCTGATATAGTGCAGTTCCTTCTCCAGCTCCACAGCATACAAAAAGAGTCTAGGAGAGAGTTTAGTTAGTAGAGCTATGCATGGTCGTTCTGTGCAGTAGACAGTAGCTTATTAATGCCCGTTGTGATGTGCTTTGAGAGGGGGCTAGGATGGCAAGCTCCTGATGACATTTTCCAGGGCAGTGATCTGCAGTACTGATGGGAAGCTGGAGCTGGGAGACCAGGCCTGCTGCGCCCTTTCATCTAGAGGGGGAACATCTGCCTCACCTTTTCAAATGTGTGTGCATGCTTCACCTGCATGTATGTGTTAGGTCTGCACCCTGTGCATGTCCGGTGCATTTGCTCTCCTGGGATTGGTATTCGAATGTGAGCTGCCATGTGGCTCTTGGGGAAGAGCAGCCTGTGCTCCTAACCACTGAGCCAGCTCGCCAGTGTGCTGGTCTCATTGTCTAAGCAAATGGAGTTGTGTGCTTTAATTTTGGAGCTGCAGAGAATGCAAGAATTAGGTGTAGCAATGTGGTTCTGGCTCAGTAAAAGAACATCTGTAACTGTGTCCTCAGTCTGCATATCCTGGTGTCCCAGGTACCACAGTTGGTACATGTTGGTGCATGGAGCAAATGCTTACTCTCGGAATTCTTGCTGAGTGACAGGCTGGTAGTCATCTTGAATTTCTGTAGAATAATACTTTTTCTCAAGCCTCTCCTTCCACGCTTTCATCTGCTCTGCCCCTTGGATCTCCTGTCAATTTAGAGGACAAGTACAGGCGGCAGTCTGTATGTGTCCGAGACTCCCAAGTAGACTACTAAAGATCACAGGCTTCCAGCGGCCCGGTGCTTGGGTGTCTGCATCGGCAAAGTCACCCCACAGGACTGGGCTGGGAGATGTGTGGCACAGATGTTAGGGTTCGGGCCTCATCTACTCACCTCATCCTGCTGTCTCTTCCTGTTGCCTCTGGGTCTCTTTCTGGTTTTAATTCATTTGCCAAGGCTAATATTCTTTTGTCCATCTTCCTCCTTCAGTGCTGAGTGTTGAGCCCAGGGTCTCCTGCGTGCTCTGCACGTGCTACACCCCACCCCCTTAGAGTGTACTTGAGAATGCATCTCTGCCCACCTCCCAGCAGCCTTTCTGCCAGGCTTGCACAGATGGGACCCTTGTGTACCAGTGCCACGTACCACAATACAAGTCTCTCACTAGAAAACGTATTACTGCCCCTTCCTGACCAAAAGAGTCCTTCCTATGAACTGTTCTTACCAGCACTGACTTGCAAGTACACTATTACCTTCAGTGTGTGCGGCACACATGCAGTGGTGCATGTTGGGATAACTTGCAGGGCCACGTGGGTCATCGGGCTGGACAGCAGGTGCCTCTACCTGCTGAGCCGTCTCTCCCTACCTCCTCTTTCTCAGATTTAGGGTGGAAAAAAGTGAAATGTGTATGGTAATAGGAGCAGCCCTAGGGAAGGAAAAAGGGGTGTGCCCAGGTGTGAGCCAAAAGTGGTTTTTTAGCCAGGTGTGGTCACACGCACTTGGCGGCTGGTGTTACTCTGGTGTTACTCTGGTGTTACTGTGGTGTTACTGTGGTGTTACCAGAGGCCAGAGCACCCTGGCTGCATAGCAAGAATCTGGAACAGAGCTGGGGTAAAGCTAGCTCAGTGAGCACTGGCAGGAAGGCATGAGGGCTTGTGCAGATCTCCAGCAGCCAGGTCACAAGCTACGCTGTGACATCATGTCCCCGTAATCCGCCCTGTGGGGGCCAGCTAGTCTAGACAAACGAGTAAGCTCCAGGTTCAGTGAAACTGTCTCAAGCGAGGAAATCCGAGGTGCTGGCTTTGTCCTCCATCTGCACACCTGAACACGTGCACCCACAAAAGGAGTGTAGAAAACAAGGACATGTGGACTAGGGCAACTTCCTAGGAATTTACTAAGTGTATTTAGCCCAGAAGTGACTGCAAGGAAGCCGAGTAGATCCTGCTGCTGATCACCTCCAATATGGTCCCTGACCAGAAACTGGCCAGCTGCAGATCCTGAGTTTGTGCACTAGTACTGTTAACTACTAAATGGCCAGGCTGCTCATACTGTGGGTGCGCATACACACGTAATCTTTTTACAGTGCTGTCTGTGGTGGTGCACACTTGTTGAATCTCAGGGCTGGGGCTGAAGACACAGAAGGACCTTTGGAGCTTACTGGCAAGCAGTCTAGTCTACTTGGTGAGCTCAGGCTGAGGAGAGACCCTGCTTTAAAGGGGGGTAGATGGCCTTCCAGAAATAACATCTCTGGTCTGTGCACGTATTCATCCACACACGAACACACCCACACATACACGCACAAAAAACATCCTGAGATTGGTCAAAATTGACATGGGTCTTTTTAATAGAAATGGATCTCTTAAGTAAAATTCTATAAATAGATTTCCAGTATTCTTTAAGCAGTTTGCTGTGCCCTGTCATAAATGAGAAAGGCTCCTGATTCTGAGAGGTGTGTTGGAGGTGACAACTGTCGGTATAAATTATTTCTATTAATCAGAACTAATAAAGCTATCACCTGTGTTTAGAAAAATCAATTAAAATCTTACAGTTTCAGCAGGGCGGCAGTGAATCCCAGCACTTTAATCCCAGCACTCAGAAGGCAGAGCCAGGTGGATCTCTATGAATTCCAGGCCAGCCTGGTCTATAGAGCGAGATCCAGGACCAAAACTACATGGAGATACCGTCTCAAAAAACAATGAAACTTACGGTTTCACTAAAGCCTTCTTTTCTGGCTTGATGGGCCAAATCTCCGGGGGTTTTCCTCCTGTAAGTGCAGAATAAGCATGAGAGTAAGAAAAGGCAGTGAACCATGAGCAGTGAGGTCCACAGCAAGGA